TCTATGAAAATTTCTCGGACATTCAGGCCGGTAAATGTTATTTAATACTGTTTATTATAAACAGAGCATTTACTTAAATACTTGTATCTATAAAAAGAACGTTAAACATAAAAATGTCTTTAAATAATTTTCGGACTTTGTCCATTTCATAATTAATATATATATATATATATATATATATATATATATATATATATATATATAACGTCAGTTAAGTTTTTTATTCAATTTTTCTTGTGCTCTTCATCATTTTCTTCATTTCTGGACAAAAGTTATGTCAAAAATTTCCGGATGTTTTTTTATCCGAACTTTTTCGGCTATACTTTTAACTATTGCCAACGATAATTTCATTTTAATTTATAACTGAATACATGGATTGTTTTATGTGTGCACCTAGTGTTATAGTGATGTTTATTTTTCAAACACGGTCAGTACATTTTGGCCGTGTTCATAGTTGATATTATTGAGTGTTGGCATTTTCTATTTTCTTTTCATTTATTCTTTTTTTTAACCTTTTGTGTCCTGCTTTCCTGAACAATTTTAACCCTTCTGCCTGAACGCCTGAGTCAAAATTCGCAAATAATTGGTATATAATGTTTCACGGTAGATATAAAAAGTTACAAAAAATATAAGCATTATACTTAGCAGGGAGAGAGTATAATTGCATTCCTTCAATTTATCGCCAGAATTCTTTCTTTTGTGCCCCAGTCTAACCAAATAAGACAAGCAATAGCAAGACACAACGCAAGTGTTTTACCCATAGTTCAACCGATGGCTGGGCATTATGTCATTTTTTTGTACCACCGGTAAAGGGCAGGTCAGGTTACAAAGGGTTAATTTATAATCTTTTCCTTCACATCCGTTGTTTATAGCATTGCTCCGAATGAAAGTGTGTAGACTATGATCGTCACACGAACACCGCAGAGATTCTATTAGTGACCATGGCTTCGTGCAGCAGTTTTGGGGGCAAATACAACATTCTCCAGTTCCGACAACCACCATATTCCCCAAATCTCGCCCCTTGCGACTTTTTCCTCTTCCAAAATTATAAGCATGATACTTAGCAGGGAGAGTATGATTCATGCCTTCACTTTATTGCCAGAATTCTTTCTTTGTGTCCCAGTCTAACCAAATAAGACAAACAATAGCAAAACACGACGCAAGTGTTTACCCACCGTTCAATCGGTGGCTGAGCATTTAGTCTTTTTTCTCCACCACCGGTAAAGCAGTGGTTATGTCTCAAACGGTTAAGTATAAAAGTTGATGATATAATAAAGTCTGTTTGGCGTGTGTTTATAGACGGCAAAACATTTATAAGCACTCTCTTTAAGCATTTCCAGCATAATGAATTACGTTCCTTTCTAATTAGGGTGTCATTTATAAAAGCGAAATTATTGACTGTTTTCTTTCTGTGTTTCGAACAAGTTTAAAGTATTGTCTAACAGCAGATCTCTCTTATGTACGGGATTTTACATTTCTAGCTGTTTCACCAATGTAAGTCTTCCTAGATTGCAGGTGTTTTATGTCATATAACATTTTCTGATGTAGCTTTAATAAAATCACATGTTTGATTTGTTTGTTTAACGGTAAAGCAGCTTCTTATGGGTAATTTAATGCCGAAATTTAATTTTCTTGGGAGCATTGAATTAATCAAGATACGATATATTATTCTGCTTTCACAACTGATTCCACGGTAGATAATACTCAACTTTTGTGTATATAATTGTTTGTACATACACATGTTTCTGCGGATACCTCGGCGTGGCGTAATGTTTATCCCTTTAATGTTACACTAGAACAAATACAACTCACTAGTGAGTTCGATCATCACTGGGTGCCCTATATTTTCTGCCTTGTGCCACATCTACGTCATTAAATCAGTATATAGATTTTTGAATGGGAATAATTTCTCGAGGCGATGATAAGTGTGTTTTATATTGCTGTATTGTTGAAGTTATATTTTGGAATACAGTTTGATTTAAGAAGTTGTCGGGTATGGATTAATACCTAACTGCAAATAATTTGATAGCTTGAACTAAATATTTTCGGAACGAATTGTATGTGTTCAACTACAGATAAAATGCATTGTTAGTAATTATACAATAAAATGTATTACTAGTCATTTTGTTATAAATATGCATTGTTTTCAATCTCTATCTATAAAAGGCAGGATACGTTTGTGTATGTGTGTGTGTGTGTGTGTAACGAAAGCACGGCCACAATTTTCGATGGATTTGCACCAAAATTTACATGCACATATAAAGGAAAATCTTTTGATTGAATTTTAATGGTAACTATATTGTTTTGCTCAATTGTAATAATTGTCTAATTTTTATTTTGTTTTTTTTGGATATAATAAAGTTTTTATAGACGTATTCTTTTTTTCCTAATATTTTTCGTTTAATTGTAATCATGGTTTCTTTAAGCACAATAATACTTCATAAATATAACCTAGGCTGTAAAATTTACTAATAATTTTACTAATTTTACTAATTACTAATTTTTCTTGATTTGCGCTGCTGAAATTTGGGTGAGTCTTATACCCACGCGCGTCTTATATGCCGTCAAATATGGTATTTATTCTTGTTAAAATTGTAATGCTGTTTTTTTTTTATTTTATAGTATGAATATTAATTTGAAGACAAGATAAAAAGCAATGAACCATGGCATCCAGATAAAATGGCTTCCAGTTTAGTCTTTTCAGGCTATTCAACTGAATAAAATCAAGACGTTAAAAAGACAAATAAAAGCCAAAAGAAAATCAAATATTTCAGCAATGGACGATAGAGGATAAATTATTATTATGATTTTTTATTCAACCCTGTGTGGGGTCGGTCAGTTCCATATTCTTTGTTGATAAAATTATTATTATTATTATTATTATTATTATTATTATTATTATCTCTATCTATAAAAGCCAGGATGTGTGTGTGTGTGTGTGTGTGTGTGTGTGTGTGTGTGTGTGTGTGTGTGTGTGTGTGTGTGTGTGTGTAACGAATGTACGGCCAGAATTTTCGACGGATTTGCACCAAAATTGACATGCACATGCTCCAAGTTAGCAGATAAGACCAAGACCGACATTGCATTTCCCAACTTCCATCGATAGTGGAAATAATCGATATTTTCATGCTTCTACGGCACTTTTCATGTAGTTTGCGGCCATTTTGTACTGGCCAGAGTGAGAGCCAATAGCTGGCTGCCACGAATGGGCAGGAAGATTCTATTGGCCAGCGTGAGAGCCAACAGCTGACTGCCACGAATGTTAACTAGCGTGTTAGCATGCAAAAAAATCGATAGCTGCATTCGTCACAAGTGGGAAAAAATTTAAATCTGCATGGCACTTGACTCCAATTGACTCATTCGCTTGCTTAAACTCAACGTTGATTCTGATTCCGCAGAACTGGGTTGGTGTGAAAAAGTATTTGTTAACATTCTTTTTTCATTCGGTTTTTCCAGTTACGAGTCCTTTTTTTTTAAAGCTGATCGTTTTGTGTTCATTTTGTTTTGTTCTTTTTTCGTAACAAATTTAATGTTTAGTATAGAGCTTAGAAAAAATTCGGAGTGTGAGATAGGCAAGAAGTAAGGCATGTAACAACATCAGCATGGCAAAGGACACTCATTTAAAGGCAAGGAAGGGTAAAAATATTTTAAGTCAAGTGATAGCGATTGCTGTATGAGTCGTACGATTTTTGAATCAAGCAGGGGCAACGCCGGGCCATGCTGCTAGTTTTACTATAAAAATGTATGTTTATACATTCATAGTGTTTTGTTTATGTTTGGGTGTTTACTATTTACCCATAGGTGGAACCCTAACAGGTGTTACAGCCCGAAGTCAATGTGTACCTGGGAACAACAGCAACTAAGAGGTGGTTCCACGCTTCTCGAAAACTCTCTCGATCTTGCTGCCGGTTGGACATTTATTTACTGGCATATCAAATCCTTATGGGTCATTTCATACCGAAATTTACATTTCTTGGGAGCTTTTAAATAATATAATTATGATATATGTTATTCTGCTTTCACAATTGAATACATGGTAAGTGATACTCAGCTTTCGTGCATATACATGTTTGCGTGGACATAATTACTAAATCCGGTGTGTTTTATGTTGTAGTTGTGTTAAAGTTATATTTTAGAATACAGTTTGATTTAAGAAATTGTAGGATATTATATGGACTAATAACCTGAAAGAGTTCTATAAGATTGATTGTTTGGTTAATTTTGTTTAGTGGTATATTAAATTCCATGAGTTATTTAATACCGAATTGTGAATTATTTGAACAATTTTATTTTTTAGTCAATATTTCGAACGCAGTTTTACGTCTTCTACTACAGATAAAATGTATTTTTGGTCATTTTGCTATGAATTGTATTGTTAGTAATTTACACACACACACGCACGCACCCCCCCATATATATATATATATATATATATATATATATATATATATATATATATATGTATGTATTGTTGGTATTTTAACCATAAAAAAATGCATTTTATACTTTCATAGAATTTTGTTTTTTATTTAGGGTTCATTATTTAGCTAAGACTGGGACTATAACAGGTACTACAACTCCGGATCAGGGTTGACCTGGGAATACCAGCAATTAAGAGGTGGTTCTACGCACCTTGAAACCTCCTGATCTGAGGCCTTGCTGCCCGTTGTAGTTTATCGTCATACCAAGAACTGAAAAGCATATGTGCTTTGCGTATGCTTATTCTTTTTAATAAAGGATGTTTACAAGAACAAATGTTCTTAAAATTTAATTTATATATATATATATATATATATATATATATATATATATATAGAGAGATGAGATGAATAGACTGACATATATATATATATATATATATATATATATATAAATAGATAGATAGATAGATATGAACAGACTGCATAGATAGATAGATAGATAGATAGATATGACAGATATGATATATATATATATATATATATATATATATAGAGAGAGAGAGAGAGAGAGAGAGACATTCAGAGAGATAAATATGAACAGACTGGCATTAATAAATATGAACAGACTGACATAGATAGATAGATAGATAGATAGATAGATAGATAGATAGATAGATAGATAGATAGATATGAAACTGACATAGATATATAGATGGATAGATGGATTGGTAGAGAGATAGAAAGATAGATATGAACAGACTGAGATAGATAAATATATATGAACAGACTGACATTATATATATATATATATATATATATATATATATATATATATAGATAGAGAGAGAGAGAGAGACTCAGACAGACTGAGAGACATTGAGAGAGATAAATATAAATAGAGTGGCATAGATAAATATGAACTGACATAGATGGATATATAGATACATAGATAGATAGATCGATGGATGTGTTTTATGTTTATGTAAGTGTGTGTCTGTGCATTAGTACATGTTTGTCTCTATCTGTGAATGAGATTAATAAATATTTAAAAGCTGTCTGTTTTGATTTCGTCATTTTTCTTCAGAAAAACTTGAAGAAGAAGGAATCGTAATAGTGTTGTAAATATTGTCCCTGTTTTTAAGATTTTAAGCATTCCTTAGCATTTTTTTTTGTTTACAGAACATTGCAATAATTATCGGAAGAATGATGTAATATTGACTGTATGATTGTAATATTAGAAAACGGAAAGGAAAAAGAAAGGCATCTTAGTACGAATAATGTGTTAACAGAATGACGGAGAATTTATTTGCTTTAAAACGACAAAAAATATTTTGCTTCCAAGAAGCATCTTAATGTTCATTTTCGTTTTTTTTTCCCGCTTTTTAAATTGCAATAATTCGATTATGCCACAAGCCAATTTGTGAGTCCTTTATTTACACTAGGGCATACGTAGGCTTTCCGAGGTCGCAACCTTAGTCAACTCAATGGCATCTGAAATCAATCCGGCTTGATTTTATTCCTATTGCATTTGCTAGGACATTTTCGGCAAGAATTTGTTCGTGACGAAAAACAAGTTAAGCACTTACTGAAACGTAAATGGTTGTATAGGTGAAGCTTTTGCTATTTTGGATAATTCTTTCCTGAGATTTAAGCAATGGAACAGATGTGGAACCGGAAAATGGAGAAGACGGGAGAATTAATGAAGAAAAAGAAAAAAAAATGTCGGGTAAGGGAAAGGGGAGCTGCGGGGGAAGACTTGCATGTTTCCCTATAAGGAAACAGCTCATATTAACATTACTATTACTTTCCAGCTTGATTAAATAAAATAAGAAAAACAAATAAGGGAAATAAAAAGAAAAGGAAAAAGAAAAAGAAAGTAAAACAAAATGATTTGAAACGAAGAAGAAGAAGAAGAAGAAGAAGAAGAAGAAGGTGAAGGAGAAGGAAGAAGAAGAAGAAGAAGAAGAAGAAGAAGAAGAAGAAGAAGAAGAAAGGAAATAAAGAGAATAATCCAAGAAACAAAGAAGGAAGGGAAGAAGAAGAAGAAGAAGAAGAAGAAGAAGAAGAAGAAGAAGAAAGGAAATAAGGAGAACAATACGAGAAACAAAAAGAAGAAAAAGAAGAAGAAGAAAGGAAATAAAAAAACAATAAATACAACAAAGAATAAAATGAAGAAGAAGAAGACATGAAATCAAGAAAAGAATAAGAGCAACAAAGAGGAAGAAGAAGAAAAAGAAGAGGAAGCAGACGGAAGGAAGGAAGGAAGGAAGGAAGGCAGGCATTATAGGAAAAATTAAGAGCGACAAAGTGGAAGACGAAGAAAATGAACGAGAAAGGAATGAAAAAAATGCGAAGAACAAAGAAGGGAAAAGATAAAATACACAGAAGAATAAGAGCAGCAAAGAAGAAGAAGAAGAAGAAGAAGAAGAAGAAGAAGAAGAAGAAGAAAGTAAATAAAGAGAACGATATCGAGAAACAAAAAGAAGAGGAAGAAGAAGAAAAAGAAAAAGGAGAAGAAGATGATGATGAAGAAGAAGAAAAGAAATAAAAAGCAGAATAAGGTGAAACAACGAAGAAGAAGAAGAAAGGTAATAAAGAGAACAAGCCAAGAAACAGAGAAGAAAGAGAAGAAGAAGAAGAAAAAGAAGAAGAAGAACGAGAAGAAGAAGAAAGAAAATAAGGAGAATAATACGAGAAACAAAAAGAAGAAAAAGAAGAAGAAGAAGAAGAAGAAGAAGAAGAAGAATGGAAATAAAGAGAACGATACAAGAAACAAAGACGAAGAAGAAAGGAAATAAAAAGAACAATCCAAGAAACAAAGAAGAAAGAGAAGAAGAAGAAGAAGAAAAAGAAGAAGAAGAAGAAGAATGGAAATAAAAAAAAAACAATAAATACAACAAAGAATAAAATGAAGAAGAAGACATGAAATCAAGAAGAAGAAGAAGAGCAACAAAGAAGAAGACGAAGAAGAAGAAGAAGAAGAAGAAGCAAAAGAAGAAGAAGAAAAAGAAAAAGAAGAAGAAGAAGAAAAGTAGCATTTGCAATCTAGCTTTTCTTGATTTTGGAAAGGGGAGGGAAATTTTAGGGGATAAATATCTTTCTTTGAATCGAGAGGGAGTCGTTCGTAACGCAATGAAGGGTTGAATGAATGAAAATTATAAGAGAATAGGGCGACAGCAGGAGTCTGGGTGGAGGCGGGGGTGGAAACAGATGAACATAGAAAAGGTTTAAATAGTTGGAAAATGGGTAAAAGAACAGGAGACTCCCTACATTTTTCGAAATACAAAAAGGAAAAAAGAAAAAGATTTGAATATAATAGGGAAAAAATGATTGAAACGGACGGAATTTACTTAAAAGCGCAAAAAAAAAAAAAAAAACTATTACTAATCTGGTTATGTTAATAATTATTGGGTGGTTCAAGAGTAGAAGTGGGTGTAGAAAAGGAGAAAGAGTGGGAGGGGAAGTAAAAAGGGGGAAGGGCCAGAGAGTAAAGCGAGGGAAACATAGAGGGAATGGGAAGAGGAAGGAATCATGAAGAAGATGAAAAGAGAGCAAAGTGAAAAGAGAGAGAACGACGATAACAATAGAAGAAGAAGAAGAAGAAGAAGAAGAAGAAGAAGAAGAAGAAGAAGGATGAATGAATGAATGAATGAATAGAGGAAACAGAGGGAATGGAAAGAAGAAGAAGAAAAAAAAGAAGAAGAAGAAGAAGAAAAGGAGAAGAAGAAGAATGAATGAATGAGTGAAGGAATAGAGGAAACAGAGGAATGGGAAGAAGAAGAAGAAAAAGAAGAAGAAGAAGAAGAAGAAAAGGAGAAGAAGAAGAAGAAGAAGAAGAAGAAAGAAGAAGAAGAAGAAGAAGAAGAAGAAGAAGAATGAATGAGGAAGGAGAAGAAGAAGAAGAAGAAGAAGAAGAAGAAGAAGAAGAAGAAGAAGAAGAAGAAGAATGAAGAGGAAGAAGAGGGAAGAAGAAGAATGAAGAAGAAGAAGAAGAAGAAGAAGAAGAGAGGAATGGGAAGAAGAATGAATGAAGAAGAAGAAGAAGAAGAAGAGAAAGAAGTAGAAGAAGAATGAATGAATGAATGAATGAATAGAGGAAACAAAGGGAATGGGGAGAAGAAGAAGAAGAAGAAGAAGAAAAAGAAGAAGAAGAAGAAGAAGAAAAAGGTAAACAAAGAAGAAAAAGAAGAAAATGAATAAGAAAATGAGGCTATGATGACAGTGAAGAGGTAACATGAAGAAAGAAGAAGACGACGATGATGATGATGAAGAAGACGAAGAAAATGATAATGATTAAACAAAACATTTAAAAAAATAAAAGGAAAGAAACATTAATAAGCAAAGAGAAACATGAACAAGGAGAGGATGATGATGATGATGATAGTGACGACGACGAAACAAAAAGAAAAGAAAATAATAAGCAAAGAAGAAGAAGAAGAAGGAGAAAATGATGACGATAATGATGATGATGATGATGTTAATTATAATGATGATGATGATGGTGACGATGATGAAATAAAGGGAAAATAAGAAAAATAAAGAAGCAGCAGCAGAAGTAGATGGTGATGATAATCATGATGATGATTGTGCCGCCGACGAAAGAAAAAGAAATGAAAGGAAATAAAAACAATAGGAAGAAGAAGAAGAAGAAGAAGAAGAAGATGAAGATGATGGTGATGATGATGATGATGATGAAACAAAAAAAAGAAGAAAAGTAAGAGGAATATTCAAAGAAGAAAAAGAAGACAACGAGGACGAAGACGAAAACAGGGGAAACAAATAGAAAAGCTTGTGAAAACGAATGAAATTAGCGTAGAAAAAAGATAGAAAATGGTATAGGTGAGAAGGAAAAAAGAAGAAGAAGTCGCTAAAAGAAAGAAAGAAAGAAAAAAAGAAAGAAAAGAAAGAAAAGAAAGAAAGAAGAAACGAAGTAACGAAGGTAGGAAGTAGACACGCAATAAGAAAAAGAAATACAGAAAAACAGACAGAATGAAAGAGAAACAAAGGAAGGAACGAAGGAATGGGAACGAAGTAATGAAGGAATGAAGGAACGAAGGAATGAAGGAATGAAGGAACGAAGGAATGAAGGAATGAAGGAACGAAGGAATGAAGGAATGAAAGAACGAAGGAATGAAGGAATGAAAGAACGAAGGAATGGGAACGAAGGAACGAAGGAACGAAGGAATGAAGGAATGAAGGAAAGAATGAAGGAAGGAACGAAGGAACGAAGGAATGAAGGAATGAAGGAACGAAGGAACGAAGGAATGAAGGAACGAAGGAATGAAGGAATGAAGGATCGAAGGAATGAAGTAACTAAGGAATGAAGGAACGAAGGAATGAAGGAACGAAGGAATGAATGAACGAAGGAATGAAGGAATGAAAGAACGAAGGAATGAAGGAACGAAGTAACGAAGGAACGAAGGAACGAAGGAACGAAGGAATGAAGGAACGAAGGAACGAAGGAATGAAGGAACGAAGGAATGAAGTAACTAAGGAATGAAGGAACGAAGGAATGAAGGAACGAAGGAACGAAGGAATGAAGGAACGAAGGAATGAAGGAATGAAGGAACGAAGGAATGAAGTAACTAAAGAACGAAGGAACGAAGGAATGAAGTAACTAAAGAACGAAGGAACGAAGGAATGAAGTAACTAAAGAACGAAGGAACGAAGGAATGAAGGAACGAAGGAATGAAGGAACGAAGGAACGAAGGAATGAAGGAACGAAGGAACGAAGGAATGAAGGAAGAGAACATACAAGAAAGAATATAGGCATGAAATAAAAGCGAAATAAAATAGGAACAAAAATGACAAAAGCATGTAAGCAAGCAAAAAAAGAAAGGAAATAAAGGAACAAAACCTGTATACAAGCAAGCAAGAAGAAAGAAAGAAAGAAAGAAAGAAAGAAAGAAAGGCAAAGCGAAGAGAAGATACCGAATTTCTTTTAAGTCTGAATGTTAACAAAGGTAAGGGAAAAACAGATTGGAATGAGAAGGAAGGAAGGAAGGAAGGAAGGAAGGAAGGAAGGAAGGAAGAGAACAGAAGGGAAGAGATAAAAAAATAAAAAAGAATATAATAGGATCAAAGTTTAAGAAGAAAAAGAACAGAAAGAAAGAAAGAAAGAAAGAAAGAAAGAAAGAAAGAAAGAAAATTATGGAAAAACCAAATGAGGTTAAAATAAAAAATAAGTAAAAATTAAAATAATTTGCGAAAGAAAGAAAGCAAGTAAGAAAGAAAGAAAGAAAGAAAGAAAGAAAGAAAGAAAGAAAGAAAGAAAAAGTGAGGGAGGGAAGCAAGTTGAAGAAACATAACGAGAAGGCGGTTGAAAAGAAAGTGTAGAGAGTAGAAAAACGAAAAAAGGGAAAACAAGAAAAGGAAAAAAAAACAATTGCAGAAAAAGAAGATAAAATGAAAGAAAAGGAAGGAGATGAGGATGAAAAGAAGGAAATGAAAGAGAAATAAAATAAAGTGAAAAAGAGGGAACACCTAAAGAAGAAGAAGAAATCAAACGATGATAACATCGCTGGCAATGTTGGCGAAGATAAGGTCTTTTAAAAAAAGACAAAAAAAAAACATTGTTATTTTTATGTATAATCTTTGCAATAAGAAGGTCATGTCCTTTAACCCATGACCAATCAAATTCTAGAAGAAAAACACAGGGAACTCAATAACAGAATACAGAATAGAATAATTAAGCATAATTCAGAACGAATCTTTCAGATTTCTTTCCCTCACCCACAAATTCCTTGGAAGAAAACAAAGAATCGGAAATAGGCACTAGGTTTTTTTGGAAAATGTAACAGTTATTGACAAAGAACCAATAAAAACAAGGATCTTACGTCGACAAGTCTTTCTTCGAAAAAAACGTTACACAAGGAAGAAGAATTTCAAAAATTAATTAATTTCCTATCTGTTTATTTGCATCCGTCAAATCCGTTAAAAAAAATCTAACAGCTAAAAAAATAATAATAATAATAATAATAATAATAATAATAATAATAATAGGCGTCTTTACTCCGTAATAAAAGAAACCAACAAATTCAAAATGGAGTTTCAAATGGAGATGCAACTACTGCACAATACACCGGCTGAAACTGCAAAATACTTAAAAAAAGAGAGCAAAGACGAATGCAACCGACCAGATACAGAAGCGCTGGCAAGATAAACCGCTACATGGCCAATACCCTGCCCGTACCAAACAAGCTGACGTAGACAAAACCCGTACCCATCAGTGGCTACGTAGTGCAGGGTTGAAAGCGGAAACTGAAAGTTTTATCCTTGCTGCACAGGACCAATGCTTGCTAACTAGGAATTATCAAGCACATATACTAAAATATTGTGTCAGCCCAAAATGCAGATTCTGTGATAAATATCCAGAAACGATTGGTCATCTTGTATCCGGTTGCACGGTGTTAGCACCCACTGAATATAAAACCCGACATGACAGAGTGGGCCAATATCTGCACTGGAAAATCTGCAACTTCTACGGGAAAAAAACTGAAAGAAACTGCTTTAAACACCAGCCAGACCCGGTTACGGAGATAGGACCTGTTACAATTCTATGCGACTACACAATACACACTGACAGAACAATCAAGGCCAATCGCCCAGATATTGTCATTAAAGACCACAAACAAAAACGGTGCCTCCTTATTGATATGGCAGTCCCTGCTGACTGCAATGTATCTTTGAAGATATTCAAAAAGCTGTCAAAGTACAAGGACCTTGAAATAGAAATCTCAAAAATGTGGCATATGGGAACATCAACAATCCCTGTTGTGGTTGGAGCCCTAGGACTGGTTGGAAAAGATTGCAGTAGACTAATTGAAGGGATTCCTGGAAGTTCATGCCTCAAGGAGATACAAAAAATTGTTCTGATAAGTACAGCCCACACTTATCGAAGGGGTTTATCTATGTTTTTTTTTTTTTTTTTTGTTAGTGGAAAGTGTCATGATGCCATTTCTAACATTAGGTCCCTGGGCGGGACCTGGAAAGAAATGTGTAAACGCCAGAAATCAAAGAAAATAAAAATAATAATAAC